TGAGGATGGGTGCAGAAATGAAAGTCTCCTGCACAAAGATATTTACTTTGGAGACTTCTGAGGATTAAGTAAGAAAATGTCTTAGAAAGGTATCAGCCAAAAGCATGCTTACAAACTGGATGGTTTCAGCCAGAGTTGACGCCCATTTCTTCCCTTTGCTACCTAAAGTGTGAGAAATGGAGGGTGGGGGAAGGCACAGAGTAATACTGGTGGATGTCAGCTCTCTAGATGAGAAAGAGACTCCATTGTGATGGTGTTGCCCCTTGACATAAGTTACCCTTATACTTCTCCACTCAACAGACACCTCTTGTGGGCTCCGCTGTTCTCTTGGGTTTGAAACAGACAGTACGGTTACATACTGATGCTGTGGCACCAGAGTCTTTCTAGATTTAGAATTTAGGCTGAGAACGCACTTGTGGTGGCAGAGCACCTGCCTAGCATGCAGAAGAACCTGGGTCGTACTGTACCTGGAACAGAGAGGAAAAAATAAAGTTAGGCAAACCAAGCCAGATGAAGGCACTCAAGGGCTGCTGGCATCTTCCTCCTGGGCTTTCTTCAAGTACAGCATCCAATGAGAACTTCTGGAAGTTGATTTTTTTTCTGTCATGCCAGTTTATCTGAGGACATTCTATACAGAACCCTTTATTTAATCAGGACATACCAAATCAGCAGATCTACTGCTAACCTCTGGCCACGGCATTCTCTGATGGTAGGGCTTGTGTAGCTTTGAAAATATCAAAATATAGGCATTGCTTATCTGGCTCTGGAGTGAGTCACAGCAACTGAAGCCACACAGGTGGTAAGGAAAACTGCGAGATTTAAAGAGTTTTGATGGTGTCTTCTGACCCTTCTTGCTATAAAATCCCATATGTAGCCCAGGCTGGCTTCTTGTAGGAGGAACTAAGGTGGGAGGAGTAAGGAGAGGAAGAGTAAGGAGGAGAGGAGGAGAAAGAAGAGGAGGAACTAGGAGAGAGGAACGAGAGAGAGAGAGAGAGGGGACCATGGAGGTGGATGTTCATGTGTCTGTAGCAGTCAAAGGTAGTTGGTATATCTAGGTTGGGTATTGGGTTACACTTCTGATTGTATGGGCATCTTGTTACTGATTATTATCAAATATATAAACTTTTGGCTAATTTAAGCATTAGAATCTCATTTTCCTACTGGGCCCACATGGATGGCAGGATGGTCGGATGGTCTGGGCAATGCCCAGCCTTGCAGAGACAGCAAGAAAGATTGGCAGAGCCATCTCCCACACTGACATCTTGTGGGTGGCAGAGCTGGTGTTTCTGGTTGGCCATTTCGAGTTGCGGTGCACACGTGGCCTCGGGCCAAGAAACATGGTGGCTGAGCTAGGCAGAGCCGCTGCAGCTTAGATAGTCGGTTTGATCAGCATCCGTTTTAAATAATTACCACAACAGCTTCTAACTTTCAGTGTTTGTCCTGTCTCTACATCTCCAGCATTGCTATCATAAAGGTGGGCGTCCACACCTGGCCCTTGGGTTTTAACTGTCGACTGTAAATTATATTCTCCTTTTACTAACACCGTATAGTGATGCTCAGGAACTCTGACTTTGGATTTTTCAACTAGACAGGCCATGAAGGGTAAGTATTTGTCAGGACCAACTTACAGGCTGGAGAGAAGTAACCGTAGGAACCCTGCTTTTTGACTTTGTGGTTTTTCAATCACTCCCTAAATGTCCTTTGTCTGCACGAGCCTGTGCATACAAATAAGGTCGTAGAGATTTGAGTTACTCAATTTTTGTGGTTCCTCAGCTTTCTTGGTACTAAACTTCTAGGAGTCCAGCCAAATTCCCCTACCTTGGGACAGCTTGTTCAGGCTGCCTTACCCACGCTCAGGAAGAAGTTTGCATCCACTGGGGACAGCTGTTGCCCCAGGACTCTGCCACATCTCTTAGGAAGAAAGCTCCTTCTTGCTGAGTCTACCCTGGGTTTTCCCAGTGTGTTAGTGTGATGTCCTACCCAGGTCCCACTACGCTGCAAAAGCTACAGTTTGTTCAAAATTAAAAATAAAGAACTCCTCTTCCCTAATTGTGCAAACCCTCTATCATCTGGGTCCTTGTGTTAGTTAAATGCATTAGTAATGACCCCAGAGAACCCAGGGTAAGTCAGTGTTGCATGAAGGGAAACGAATCAAAGGCTTTCATCCCAGAGACAAGAACAATCCAAAGTCTGAATCCTCTCCCTCCCTCCTGATGTTTTCTGTTATCTCCAGTCTGTTGTATGACTGAGTCTGTGTCTGCCTGTCTTGTCAAGGGGCTTTTACTCCGTTTTATTAAACAGAGTACAATATGTGGCATGGGGAAGGAATGAGGGGTGCTTTTAAGAAATCTTTGATGGAGGTTTATAGAGAATGATACTCTACCCAGCCAGCTGATCCATACACAATGTTACCAAGCAGTATGGGCATGTTGCCTTCAGTATGTACAGCTGATGGTTATTTCATAAGAATATTTTTGCTCTGTTTGATGTTTACAGCAAGTGATTGTCATAGAACACACGTAAACATACACACACACACACACATATACACACACACACTGCTCTCTGGGTTAGTGTAGGACTGTGAAGGACAGCATGGTTTCTGGTCGAGCACTGGCTAGAGATAGCCGGAGACCCAGCAGATTAGAGACCTCACAGGTTTCCCTGCAAGGGACGGCATGCATTTTGCCATGCTCTTAGACTCCAGGCTCCTGACATGCGACGGAAGACCTCCATCTATCTGCACCTTTCAGGCACATAGGACAGCCCTCTACAGCCCCTTCCAAAGAGAGGTTTGTGGCCATCGGTCATGTAGCACAGGTAGAAGGCAAGACTACGGGCTGCAGAGCCTCAAGAGATCTCCATATTCATGAGATACCTAAAGGCCAGAGGGTATAGTCAATTAAGCATTCCTTCCCAGACCCTCCTCTTACTAGCAAAAGATATTTAACCTCAGGCCTGCCCTGAGAACATGAGGTACAGCTTCATCCATTTTTTGCCATGACAATAAACATTGTAAAGCCATGAACTACCTCTCATCTTTGGGGCCCACTGTGGGGAACCATGGAGAAGGCTTTCAACTACCAAGCCACCGCCTAATCTCCTGCCAAAGACCTCTCTGTGGTCCAGCCATGAAAACTCAGCCATGACTGAGCCGCCACCTAACCTCCCGCTGAAGACCCCTCTATGTTCCAGCCATGGAGGCTGCCCACTCAAGGGAGCTAGCCGAGCCAGCCATGATCCAGCCAAGCAAGCCACGACCAAGGGTCTCATTCCCTGTAGGGCGCCACCGGAGCTCATCTTCTCCCCCTTCCCGCTTCGGCTTTGGGTCAATCCAGCCCATACACCCCTGTCTAGGTCCTTTCCGCAGCCACTCAGCTCACTCTCTTACCTGAGAGCCAAAGGGCTGAGACGAGTTGGTCCCTGGCCACCTCCTGGCCCGGGGATCCCTAACCCAAGAGTTCCCACCCCCACGGGACCTCAGACTGTGTTCTCCCCACGCCTGGAGTGGAGCCCTGTGGCTTCTCACAGCCCAATGTCTGCTTGGCGCCATGTGGAGTGGACACAGTCAATATCCTGCACTTCTGCCTCTTTGAGCCATGGTCCTAGCCCCTTGGGGTGGTAGACATGTGGGACCTACAATTCAGCCCAACAGGACCCATGCCCACACATGCTACAGACTGACAGGTTAGGGGCATGGACCTAATTTCAGATTAAAGCTATACATTAGGTTAGGTTGTAAAACTGGATTACATGGGAAATCCAGGAAGTAAGGTTGGTTGTTACACTTTCTTTTAAAGGCAAGCTAAACAAACAGGCTGTGTACACAGTCGGATAGTTGACTTAAGTCTTAAGTGCATTCTTAGCTCTGGCTATGAGGTCCAGCAAAAGTTGTAGTTTCTTAGAGTGTAAGAGATTTGTAATAATATGATATTGCCACAGGCATTGAGCTAGCCCTACTGGGCACTCCAGTAAAGAACATCCTCTAATGTATCTGTCACCTTCCACCACCCATCCCCTTATGAGGGGAGAGTGAAAATGATAAATTTTTCTCTTCCTCGTTTTTTACCCTTTCTACAACCCTTGATACCCACAAAGTAGCTTCAGCCCCAAGCCAGAAGTCTCTGGATATCAGCTACACAGACCAATGCCTGGATCTCCAGCCTCCTCACCCTACTCTGTTTACTTTCAGACAGGTCCACACCACTACTCACTAATGAGGCTGTCTGGTCACGGCTGAGCTTATAATACCCATCGGGACATCAAGACATTCTCAGGGTGTAGTGGTGACTGATGTCACCAGCCAGCTACTATAGATCAACCAGAGGACATACTGCAGGAAAAGGACCCCAGTGCCAGAGAGAGGACACTCTCTGGGAGGTGTGCTGTCGCGTCCACCCTCGACCAACAAGGAAGACGCAACACGCGAGCTCTTCTCCAAGTAGTTTATTCAGGACCCTTGAACAATCTTCTGACTGACGACCCCGGGGGAAGCGGCTCCCAGGCTTAAGTACTCTAGGACTAGCCAACCCCCGTCTGCCACGTGGTAACAGCAGACAGGTCCACACACACGGAGACAAGCGAGATCACCAGCCACAGCCAAATAAGGAGTTGTTTACTCCTAAGAGTCCTAGCCAACAGGTGGCGGAAGGCAGAGACCGGCGCCATCTTAAGGGCGCGGCACTATGCGGCTCTCCACAGTGTGTGTGTGTGTGTGTGTGTGTGTGTGTGTGTGTGTGTGTGTATCCCATCAACCCATATCAGACTGCTAGCTGAATGACTGGCATCTTGCATTTCACAAGATGGCTTCCTGAGACACATTTGCAGGTACTGGGAGGAAGTTACCTCAGCATAGATCAACATATTCTTGACCCTATTTTCCTCAGGCAGGAGAGGTCAGATCGTCTGGCAATTCATAAAGAAGGAATCCCCAGAGACCAGTGATCAGTATAGACTCTTCTGCTTACACTCACTCTCTCCTACCCTTCTGTCTGACACAGGACCTCCCGTCATTCACTCTGGAATCAAAGACCTCAAGGTCCTGAAAACAACCCAGTCTGGATTTGAAGGGTTCATCAAGGACCAGTTCACTACTCTCCCTGAAGTGAAGGACAGATGCTTTGCCACTCAAGTTTACTGCAAGTGGCGCTACCAGAAACTGGACGTGGACTTCGAGGCCGTCTGGTATGGCAAGCAACTGCTAGGACCTAAAACTGGGGCTGGTTAAAGGGATCCTGGAGCAAAGAGGAAACCTAGAGGCCTGACAACTCAAATTCCCCCTGGTGAGGGTCTGGGGGGGGAGCGGTGTGTGTGTGTGTCGGTGTGTGTGTCGGTGTATGGGTGTGTGTACACATGCACTTGTACGCACATGATTCCCCTGGTGTATGTGTGTGTGTGTGTGTGTGTGTGTGTGTGTGTGGCAGGGTATGGGTGTGTGTACACATGTACTTGTATGCACATGCATGTGGAGACCAGAGAACGACTCCAGGTGGTGTTTCTTACAAGTTATCCCCCTTGTTTTGTGACCAGCTTCTTACTGGGACCTGGGACTTGCTTATTCATCCAGGTTGGCTGGCTAGGCCAGGATCTGCTTGTGTCCTCAGGGTTGGGATTAAACAGGTAATATAATGTCCAGCTTGTAATGCAGGTGCTGGAGATGGAACTTAGGTCCCCGTGTTCACATGGCAAGCTGTCTTCCCAGTCCCTCTTTTCAAATTCTATGAGTGGCTCACAGACATAAGTGCACAATGGAATTACTCAAGATATTGTTAAAATAAAATCACTGCATTCCCTCCTGGGCCCCTCTGAGAATCTGTATCTCTAGAAACACCCCAAGTGACATTTCTGCTGCTGGGCTCCTTCAAATGAAGGTAATACCTAGCTGTACAACAATGCAAAGGGGCCTGAACTAAGGTTCCCAACCCCTCCCAGTTGGTGAAGACTGTCTTAGTTTCAATACTGAAATTTCCATGTCTCAGAAAACCCTCTGGTTTTGGACAAATGGTGAGAGTTGGTCATCCAAGGCTGAGCGTCCTCTGGTATTCACAGAAGTATTCTGTAAATGGGCTGAGGAGACAGCTCACTTATCAAGCGTTTGTACTGCAAACTTGAGGACCTGCATTGGGGCCCCAGAACTCACACGTAAAAGCCGGGCACAATGGCATGTACTTAGCCAGCAGTGGGAAGATGAAGCCAGGCAGGTCCCTGCAGCTTATGGGACAGCCATCCTGGACGAAGCAGTAGCAAAGTCCAGGTACATATCACAGACCTGCTCTTAAAAAAAAAAAAAAAAAAAAAAAAAAACAGAGAGCAACTGACAAAGGTACCTGAGGTTGACCTCTGTGACACACACACATATGCTGGCACACACAAATATACACACATGTGCCACACACACACACACGAGAGAGAGAGAGAGAGAGAGAGAGAGAGAGAGAGAGAGAGAGAGAGAATGACACATGCTTAAGCCATGTAAAGTGTGAGTTTTATCACAACTCTGACAAGGAACAGTTGGCTTCTGAACTCCGAGCTATGGAGATTGAATTCCTTTGCTGACATCTCCACCCTGGGATGAGCTGGAATCTGTTCCTCCCTTACAAAGGATCTCCCACTGGTCTTTTATCTGCTCTCTCTTGCTCTGTCTCTGTCTTTGTCTCTGTCTCTGTTTCTGTCTCTCTCTCTCCCCCCCCTCCCTCTCCCTCTCTCTCTCTCTCTCTCTCTCTCTCTCTCTCTCTCTTTTAATGGAGAGGTTTTTGAATGCTTGGAAGGGAACCTCACCCTGGTCCTCTTTCCCTTCCTTATTTCACGTGCTCTCCCTGGGCGCTGGAGCCTGACGGATTGATGGTGAGAGAATCTTCACAGTCAGGGTGCCAGGTAGGGGAGGGCTGCAGGCCTCCCACTAAAGACAAAGGCTCAGAGGAACTGCTTAACTTGTGAGCTCAGGTCTATCATCTCCAATGAGGGGTGGGTGGGAGGGGGGGTGATCACAGCACTGCCTCCACTGTATTCAAGGTTCTGTGTGTTTGACTTACAGAGACACACTAAGTCCTGAGTAGGAAGAGTTCAAGGACACAGGCGTGAGCAGGGAGATAGCGTCTGTGTTTGGGAGTCCCCCTTCTGTGTCTGCATACATGGTAGAAGATTGGTGCTGAAATCCTATTGGGCCTAGGTATCACTCTATGAGAAGAGGTAGCTTCTTAGTGTTTGCTTGTTTAATGTAGTGGGGTGTGTGTGTGTGTGCGTGCGTGCATGTGTGTGTGTGTGTGTGTGTGTGTGTGAAAAGTAGGAAGGGATATGAAGTGGATTCTGCTTGTTTTCATTTTAGCATTGCAGAATAAGAATCCTTCCTAAAACGGTCCATACAATGGGTTTCTGGGCACTCCTTTTTAGCTTTATAATGTATCCCTAACAAATCCTATGAGCTCCTCCACTCCACCTTTGTGTTCTAGGGGCGCTGTCCGGGACATTGTCCTGCAGAAATTTGCTGGGCCCTATGACAAAGGCGAATACTCACCTTCCGTGCAGAAGACCCTCTATGACATACAAGTGCTATCCCTGAGCCAGCTTCCTGAGGTATGCTTTGTCACTTGTATTTGGAGGACGGAGAGGAACTGTGTCTCCTGTCAGCTCTGAGGAAGAGTTGAGTGTTAAAATAGGAGAGTGGAAGACACTTGAGAAGTGACATCTGTTGTTGTTCAAAAGCTTGTTATAGCAAGTGAGAAGACAGCAGAACATGGGAAAATCTGTTCAACCTAAAAACACAGGCGGCTGCCACAGTGCTGCAGTTTTGTTGGAAACTCCTTTGAGTTCCTTCAACCTACTGCAGATTTAAACTTCAAGTTCAGGCCACTTCCATGACTTTCTATGGAGAGATAACTAGACAAAGCTTGTATGTTTCAAGGTATAAATGATAAATATAGAGAAATTCAATCCAATTTCCCTTCTTTCCTTCCTTCCTTTCATCCATCCAGCTACCCATCCATCTACCCATTCATCCACCTATCCATCCATCTACTTATCTACTTGATATTCCTGGACATTGTATCTCTGGCAGGACCCAAAGGATATAAAGATAACCTAGACATGGTCCCTACCCTCAAATATTTCACCATTATGTAAACATAGAAAACAAGTAAAAGTTTTAAAAGAACAATAATAGGTTATTATGGGAATATGGGGGAAGTCTCACTTAGGTATACGAGGTGTCACTAGGTTGATTTTCTAGGAGAGGAGTGTGCTGAGCCTTTAAGAATAATAGGGGTGATCTGGGTTTATACTCAAGGGCTGGGGGACAGGATAAATGTGGAGACAGGGGATAGGCATGACATAGACATTTACTGTTAAGGACCAACCACATGTGACATGCTAGGAGGGAAGTATTTTCCTGTGTGCAGGCATAAGGTGGAAATGGGTCAAGAGGACATTTGTAGGCTTATTTATAGTCTATGCTTTATTCCTAGCCACTGGTGGCCACTTAGTATAGCAAAGTATAGCATGATAAGATTTGCATTCTAGAGTGCTCACAGGTCGTAGTATGATAAAAGGTTACAACGGGCCACAGGCTTGGAGACTCGTGAGATGAAGTTACAGAGGTGTGGCCAAGAAAGCATGGGCTGATGCTATGTTGAATTAAGAGAAGCATTGCCTGGGCCAGCGTGACTTCTCCTTGGTTAGCACTATAGCATCCTTCCTCTTGCTTCCTCTGCCTGTGACTACCTCCACTGGGTAGAGTTGATAAAAACTGATAAACATTTTGAGTGTCCATAGCTCCCCCAGAATTTTTCACCCAGTAGTCTAGAGACTCCTTCCAGAACCTGGGAGGTCTCTAATAGAGACCTGTTCTTTGGGAGAAGGCTCATTTCATGAGGCAGCATATTCTTAGGCTTAGGTACAAGTGGACCAGAGAAATAAGTATGGCTTGACATACAAAGAGAATATCTATCTACATGATTCAAGAGAGAAGATGGGCTCGCCCAAGGGCTGGGATGGCTTTTCCCATGATGTCAAATCCTGGCACAGTACCACAAAGAGTCAGAATTTTAAATTACAATATGACCTCAAAGATTTAACATGAGTACTTTTTTCAATTTGAAAAGTAGAGTATAGTTCATTAAATCTTTATGTCATGGACATGGGTCTATACCTTTACACTTATTCTAGGACCTGTGAATGTTAGGGACCATCCTATGGGGAGGATGTAGGAGGGAAGACGTTAGAATGTTGACTGGCCAGTTTCTGAAGGCCAGTTGGATGTGGAAGGGATCTGCCAGATTCCCAAGGAGCCTGAGCTCTTCAGAGACGGTTTAATATTGAAGGGAGAGGAATGAGTTGGCTATCAATTTAGTAGGAAGAGTAGTGTGGGTGGAGGGAGGGAGCGATTGGCAGCAGAGGATCATGGGAGAGTACCTTAAGATACAATCATGGCCACAGGAAGTGGTCAGTATGGATGATTAGATGGAGGAAGAGAGAATCTCCATGGCTCAGTGTAACCCATGCTGTTGTGGATTCCAGATTGAAGACATGGAAATCAGCCTTCCAAACATTCACTACTTTAACATCGACATGTCCAAAATGGGGCTGATCAACAAGGAAGAGGTAAGAGAGTGTAAAAACACTGAAAGCACGTTTCTGCGCCATCCCCCTCCAGTCCCGTCATCAACTTGGGACAATATGAACGTCTAAAACCTGTAGCAGCTGCTGGCTAGGCATAATATTTATAGTTGCCACTGATTGGAACCCTCTTTGGCTCTGGGTCTTTCAATGCCTAAGGCTGAGTACTCTAGAAGCGGATGAGAGATCACAGAGGAGGCATGCTAGTTGCAGGGAGGAACAAAGAGAAGGAACAGAGTGTGCCCAAGGAAACAGCTCTAAGATCTCCTTGGGAAAGTGCCACCGAAGGTCACAGCTGCGTTATTCTTCCGTCATGAGGCAATGGGAAAGGAAGGCTGTATTTTCATTTTCTTTTATCATGCCCACCTTTTGACTAAACAGTCAATTCAGCAGCACACAATATGCTTGGGAGACATGAAAGCGTGTTTGTGCTACAGATGGCAAAAACAAGAAATGTACGCTTTCAAAGGGAACCTTTTTCTCAGGAAAATATACAGCCCTGACTTCCTTTTAGCCGTGACAATCAAATTGTCTGACTAGGCATCCTGGAGCCCTGATTGGTGGCCTCTATGGTCACTTCCTGGGAAATCATAACTGACCCTACCCCTTGGACATTTCAGTCATAGACCTTTTGACCCATCTGTAGCATCGTTTTGGGTAAGTGCTTTTAATGTGTGCGAGGGAGAGAGGTAAGGAAGAGACCGTCTATTTCAATGTCTCTGCCTTTGGAGACCATACTCTCTGATGCATAAGATAAACAGAAGAGTCTCTAGAAACTTACGGCTGCTGACCAGGAGTCTTTCAACCCTCCCTCCAATACCTGATTTCTCTTTTGCAAACAGTGCTGGTGGGTTCCACTGGCTCTGAGCCATCAGTCACACATGGATGCCTGCTCCAGTGCTGGAGCATGAGCACCAGGTGCACATATCTTGTATGAGGTGATCTAGGGCCCTGGTTGGTGGAAGAGGGCAAGTTTGGCCTCGTGTTCACTGAGCTGACAGGACAGGCAGCACCAGTTACCTCAGAGGAAGGAGAGCATAGCAGTGTGCTTCATTTGTGAATGAGGACAGAAGCCTTTGGGAGTGGTTTCTTGCTGAATGGCAGGAGATAGATCTGAGAACAATCTTAGTCATGTCCGCCACAGGCAAAACCAATGAGCTCCAAACAGAAAAAACGACCAGACTGATGCTCAGCTTCTGCACAGCTGGGAGGGTTTCTGAGGTGTCTACTGAGCCTTGGGCTCGTACCCATCCCCTCCAGAGCTAAGTGGATGTGTCATTGCTGCAGAGTGGGTGGGAGGTGGAGGGTGGGGTGGGGGTGGGAGGGATCGGGATGAGGGGATGAGGGGGATGAGGGGGATGAGAGGGAAGAGGGGGGGAGAGGGGGGAAGAGGGGGAGCGGTTGGGAGTTGCAGAGAGCAAAATAAAAAGCTGCAGAGGAAGCCCCTTCCTAGATCCCAGCCCTGGCCTGGAAATCAGAAGCCCTGAGCTCTTCAGGAGTCAGACTCTCTTTTTCTTCTCTCTCTCTCTTCACAACAAATACACACATGCACACCCATGAATAATGTGTCCTCACACATGTGTACCACGTGAAAGGAACATAGGAGAAGCAGGAAGCTGAGGCACAGTGACAACAGCTGGGGAGTGACAAGTGACAGGGTGGGAGGATAGACTCTACAACACAGCAGCCTAGACATTTCACAGTGTGCTCACAGCCCTGTGGACCTCAGATGCTCTCCGGGCATGACTAAATTATAGCTGTGGACAATGACCGATGTCCAAAATGAGTTATCAGAGAAGGTCAGATTTACTCGCCGAATTTTAAAAAGCAGGATTGTATAACGCATTTAGAATCATCCATATCCTAACGACTAACAAACAAGATGCTTCTTGGCAGCTGGTGGAATGGTGTGATCAGTAAACCAGTTGCTGTGCAAGCACAGGGACACGAGCTTGGGTCCCCAGCATCCATGTAATCAGCCAAGCACTGTGACATGTGTCAGTAGACACAGCACTGATAAAGCAGAGACTGTAGGACCCTTGGGGCTCATGGGTCAGCCAGTCTTCCTGAACTGATAAGCTGAGGTGCTGGGAGATAATTCAGGAGGAAAAGGCACTTGATATATAAGCCCGATGACCTGAGTCAGAACCCTGAATCCCATAAAAAGGTAAAAGAAAGATGCTACTACACAAACTTACCTTCTAACTTCCCCAAGAGTGGTGTGACACGCGCAACACCCTTTTCAGTTCTTACACACACACACAAATATATACACATGTCACACACATGCACATATTCACACATGCGTACGATAACCCAAAACTACCATACAAAACTCTTAAAATCTCTATACTTTCTGAAAAATTAACCCATTGACCAACTATAGCAAGGAAACTCAGGCCCCGCTAGATATGAAGTCATTGTCTCGCAGAGGAGTTTCCTCCTTGACAATGTGACATTCTTGCTTTAATATTGGCTCATAGTAAGGAGAATGCGCTCTCTGAAGTTACCCTGTGCTTCCTCTACAGGTTTTGCTGCCTCTGGACAATCCCTATGGCAAAATAACAGGGACAGTCAAGAGGAAGCTGCCCTCAAGGCTGTGACGTTATGGCTCCAGCCAATTGTGATGCTGGGGATGACTGTCTTTACCTGCAAAAAGTTCAACTCAGGATATTGATTGCTTTTTGTCTGTATGAAGTAATTGGTTTTTGTTGTTGTTGTTGTTGTTGCTAGTTCAACAAGGAACTTGTAGTTGTGTGTACATGGAGCCCCATATTAGCACGTTATAACATGCTCCATGGCCGTGGGCAGTTTCCTTTAAAATTACTGGGCAGTGTTAGGAGAATCACAGTGATATTTCTCCTTGCTGTTCTTGTGTTCTCTGCCTTAGAATCTGTCTTTAGAATCCGATCGTTCAGGAAATAATCATAAAGTACTGGCTGTTGCCACATCGATTAATTTGAACACTGTCATCAGGGATATGTCTGTGTAGTGCAGAAAACATAATAAAACCGTGTGAAAAAAAATCATCATAGCGTTTTTAAAAACTCTGCCACTCTGACAGAAGCTCAGCATGGAGGAGGCCAGGTGGACATGAAACTCCAACCCTAGCTGAGGAGTTATTGGTGTTTGATTGAGGCTGGAGGAGAGAAAGCCAGCTTTGTTTGGGGGTGTGGCACCTGGTATGTCAATCACATTGAAGGATCCTAGGGTTTTATGCCCAGAAGTAGTCAGATAAACCCAAACTGTCCTCAGTGGGAGAGAAAGAAAGAACATGAAGTTGAGTGAGTGACGTAGACCTGAGATGAACTGGGATGGGAGGCAAATATTATCAAAATATAGTGTATAAAATTCTCAAATAATTAATAAAAACATTATCTTTAAATGTTTAAAAACTACTTTTAAGTTCCTCTACCAGTTAGCATGAATAAAAACAAGAACATTTTTAAAAAAACCCTTTAGCATTTGCAACTGACTGTTTATTTCTAGCCTAATAATGATTTTTATCACCTTGCTGTGTTGCTTCTATGATTTTTACAACCCTTGCAGAATACTTCGTGCATACTGGGACACTAAAATAAGGATACGTTGTTTTTCCTTGAGTGGTGTGTATCCATCCCTCTGGTGTAAAGAGCTGCTGAGTGTTCATACAGTCAACAGATAGATGGCTGAGTGTGCACATGGGAAGGAAGCTCTAACACACTCCTCTGAAAACACCTTTACAAAGACTGGACAACAGGATTCGTGAATGAGATTTACCTTGGATCCTGTACTTTCCTGACTTTTCCAATTATGAAAACCTATTGCTTTCACGATCAGAGGAATTCGAGCATAACTGATAACTTAAAATGGATTCAGACTGGAGAGGCGATTAGCTTTGTATCAGTCACTGACATTATTCATTACATGTTACCCTACAAAGCCTAAAAAGAATGACTTTAGAAACCACAGTTAAGACCTGTGAATATGAACAACCCATTAACCTTCCCGTGCTTTTTTTTTTTAAAAAAAATTTTTATTAGTAACTTTTTTAATGTTAATCAAGGCTTTATGAGTTTGATAATGCTCAATAACATCAGTAACAAGATGCCCATACAATCAGAAGTGCAACCCAATACCCAACCTAGATATACCAACTATCTTTGACTGGCGGAGACACATGAACATCCACCTCCATGTCTCTCTCTCTCCCTCCCTCTCCCTCCCTCCCTCCCTCCCTCTCTCTCTCTCTCTCTCTCTCTCTCTCTCTCTCTCTCTCCTCCTAGCTCCTTCTCTCCTTCTCCTCCCCCTCTCCTTACTCCTCCTCTTTCTCTCCTTACTCCTCCCACCTTAGCTCCTCCTACATAGCACCCTTCCTGTTAAAATAAAACTTTTCTCTCCAAATACAGTTAGAGCATAACTATAGCAATTTGTATCAGTAAGCTACAAGATAGACCTAATACCCAGTCCATCATTTTGTCGACTAACCAGAACCTCTGTCATCTCTCCTAACTAAAAGATGTAGTTCTGAACCTGGCTTTTTTCTTGGCTTTAGAATGAATGTCAGCTGAAAACCATCCTCTCAAATCTTTTCTCTCAAAGTAAATAGCTGGGATTGGCTATGAGACTATAAGTCTTCAACCTCGTCAGCAATGCAGAATGGCTGAATTAATTGAAATTATGGGAAGCACAAAGCATAGCTTCTAAAACTTAGCCAGTTTACAGAGACTGCTGAACACCTGGACAGTCCCTATACTACAAAACGTTGGAGCATCCGATCTTTAGCCTTCTGGCCCAGGATCATCTGACAGACCTAGTAATGCAGAATTATTAAGGGCTGATTACTCTGTCTTGGCAGATATAATCAGTAGACTATTCCACAAGTGTGTCCTTTTCTGAACAGTAATTTGTCTGTAGATCAAAAGAGGCAATTCTCGCCTAATGGCTGTCTCACCACAACTAGAGTAACTCCAAAGATGCTCAATTTCTTCTTAGAATCCAAGACAGGAAGCTGTCAGGAACAGACAGGTCTCTACTCAAAATGAACATTAATACAGGAATGTTTGTAACGTCAATTCTGTGGACTTCTAACGTTTTGAAAACCAATTATCCATGCAAGGCAATCTGGACTGTTGTCTGTTAACTCCTTTCAGTTATTTCTAAATAAAATATAGAAAACATCCTAACAATAAACTCAGAGTCATGAATTTGCTATAGGCCCTTAACTCACAGGCTAACCATCTCAAATCAGTTAAAGAAGTTAAAGAAGGACTGGGTCTTAGACTTGTATTCCTAAATGTGTTATATAGGGACAATGCCTATGAGAGTAACAGTATTAATCTCACTTCTATATCAATAAGAAACTCATACCAATAAAAACCTTAAATTTGAAATCAAAGTAAGTTTTGTATCATTTAAGAAATTATAACTTCAGCTTAATAACAATTATACATATTTCTACCAATAGGTTATGGCTATGCAATAAATCCTAGCTATTCCTCCCTGTTCCAACAAAACCAGTACTTTTCCCTAGAAAGAGAGCACAATATTAACCACGTCAGTCTCCAAGCCCAGGGAATAGGGGCGCTGACTCTTCATTAACTTCTTCAAGGTGATTACAGGCATTGAGATATTAGAAGAGGGCAGGGGGAAGAGTAAACTGATAAGCCTCTGATGTCTGTGTCTTCACTGAATCCTGCTAAAATTCCAGGACATTAGAGGTTCGAGCAGATTGCTTGATGAGTAGATACACCAAGGCTGTGTATTCTGCAATATATAATTCTCAAAACAAATTTTAGTATCAAGACAATTTTTGTTTGAATTCTAGAATCTAGTCTTCTGGCAGCTTGCCTCTGTCATGTCAATTCCATATAACTCTGGGAGTTTCTATGAGGGTGTGCTCCCACCATCCTCCCATTCCTGCCTCCCTGCTCTCGAATTCCCCAACACTAGGGAATCCAAACTTTCAGGCACCAAGGCCCCCCACTTCCACTGATGCCTGACAAGGCTTCCCTCAACTACCTATACAGGTGGAGCCATGAGTCCCTCCCTTTGTGTTCTCTGGCTGGAGGTTTTAGAATGGCTACTCCAGCTTGTTTCTTAGGACTATTTGCTTGAAAAATTGTTTTCCAGCCTTTTACTCTAAGGTAGTGTCTGTCTTTGTCACTGAGGTGGGTTTCCTGTATGCAGCAAAATGTTGGGTCCTGTTTACTTATCCAGTCCATTACCCTATATCTTTTTATTGGGGAATTGAGTCCATTGATGTTAAGAGATATTAAGGAACAGTGATTGTT